TTTTTTACAGAAGATCAGTTTAGTATACATTAAGTAAAGATTTCAACAGTTTTCACCCCCATAGAAACACAAAGTGAAATATACTGTTTGAGTACTCATTATAGCATTAAGTCTCAATGTACAGCACGCTAAGGACAGAGATCCTACCTGAGGAGCGAGTACACAGTGACTCCTGTTGTTGACTTTACAAATCGACACTCTTGTTTATGGCCTCAGTAATCTCCCCATGCTCCAGTCATGAGTTTCCAAGGCTATGGAAGCCCCTTGAGTTCTCCGACTCTTATCTTGTTTAGACAAGGTCATAGTCAAAGTGGAGGTTCTCTCCTCCCTTCAGAGAAAGGTACCTCCTTCTTTGAAGACCTGTTCTTTCCACTGGGATCTCACTCACAGAGATCTTTCATTTAGGCTCCCCCCCCCCCCCAAGAGTGTCTTGGCTTTCCATACCTGAAATACTCTCATGGGCTTTTCAGCCAGATCCGAATGCCTTTAGGGCTGATTCTGAGGCCAGAGTGCTATTTAGGACATCTGCCATTCTATGAGTCTGCTGAGTATCTCACTTCCCATGTTGGATCACTCTCCCCTTTATTTATTCTATCGGTTAGTGTTAGCAGGTACTAGACTTGCTTATGTGCTCCCTTTGACTCTTAGTCCTTTCATTCTGATCAATTGTGAACTGAAATGGATCACTTGGACTAGTGAGATGGCATTGGTACATGCCACCTTGATGGGATTGAATTGGAGTCCCCTGGTATGTTTCTAACTCTACCATTTGGGGCAAGTCAGCCTGAGCATGTCCCAAATTGTACATCTCTTCCCTCTCTTATTCGCACTCTTATGTTTAACAGGGATCACATTTCAGTTAAGTTTCAACACTTAAGAATAACTGTGTATTAATTACAGAATTAAACCAGTCATATTAAGTAGAGCAGACAAAAAAACTACTAAGAGGGATAATGTATTAAGTTGTTCATTAACAGTCAGGGCTATGCTGATCAAGTCACCGTTTCTCATAGTGTTGATTTCACTTCAACAGGTTTCCTTTTTGGTGTTCAGTCTGTTGTCACCAATCAGGGAGGACATATGGTATTTGTCCCTTTGGGAATGGCTTATTTCACTCAGCATGAAGTGTTCCAGATTCCTCCATTTTGTTGCAAATGACTGGATTTCGTTGTTTCTTACTGCGGTATAGTATTCTAAAGAGTACATATCCCATAATTTCTTTATCCAGTCTACCTTTGATGGGCATTTAGATTGGTTCCAGGTCTTGGCTATTGTGAATTGTGCCGCAATAAACATTAGGGTGCAGACCGCTTTTTTGTTTGCCAATTTAAATTCCTTTGGGTAAATCCCAAAGGATTGCCTCCTATGAGGTGCAGTAGCAAGAAACTAGAATCCAAAGCAGATCTGGGACTTGGTCTCAGGCACTCCAATATGGAATGCAGGTGTCCCAAGTGGTATTCTACCTGCTGAACCAAATACTTGTCCCTGTATTGCATTTTAATTCATTTTTAAATATTGTTGTAAACATATATGTTTACTTACCTTTTATATCATATAAAAATTCAATTTTGTCCAAATAGATAAGTCAAGTTTGTATTTAAAAGTGACTTTTCTTAATTTCTATGACTAGTAACCTGAAGCGTACTCTTTGGTCCCTGTACACACAGTTTCCTTGATTTGCAGTGTGCCCGTCCTCATAGACTTTGTACTAAATGCTGCTGTGATATCCCTTTGTCATTTTGGGTTGTCATACTTAAGATGGCTTTAACTTCTTTGCAAAGGTAGAAATCTCACTGTGGGTTTTACTCTAAAGCTCATTTTATAGATGCCTTACACATTGGTAGGTAATGAAACCCACAAGTTATTCAGCAACTAATTTGTGAATGCCTCACTGCATAGAGTTGCGGTGAGCCTAGGTCCCATGTTAAAAATCCTACATGGCTCCCCTATGACCTAAAACTCTGTGTCAGATTCCTATTAACTAAGTTGGTTACCAATATGGCTTTGCTCAATCTTTAATCTTTGTAACCCAAGCAGAAATTTATTGAGTTAATAAAACTTATGTATTGAGTTCTTACAGAAAAGTCATCTATTTTAAAAGAAAAGGCATCATTGAGAGAGAATACTTTTTCTGTTTTTCCATAGGGTACACTCAACCTTTGGATTAGGAGTATGTAATCAAGGTCTGTTGGGACACTCGGGCTAGCCTATTTTTCTGACAGGTGACTTCTCCAGGAGGCAACAGTTTGCCTCATCTGGGTAGGCTTTAAAGTTCAATTACTGAAAGCAAGTGAAAACACTAGAGTGGAAATTGCTTTGGAATCCACTTTATCTTTCTGTGATCCAACCAAATTTACACATTGAGTTACTGCTCTGTGGTGGCTGTGCCAATATCCCCATTCCGTTTCTGCACCAACATCTACTGTGAATAAACAAAAAGTGAATTTTTTTAAACTTTTGTTTAATGAATATAAATTTCCAAAGTACAGCTTATGGATTACAATGGCATCCCCCCCCATAACGTCCCTCCAACCCGCAACCCTCCCCTCTCCCACTCCCTCTCCCCTTCCATTCACATCAAGATTCATTTTCGATTCTCTTTATATACAGAAGATCAGTTTAGCATACATTAAGTAAAGATTTCAACAGTTTGCTCCCACACAGAAACATAAAGTGAAAAATACTGTTTGAGTACTAGTTATAGCATTAAACCTCAATGTACAGCACACTAAGGACAGAGATCCTACATGAGGAGTAAGTGTACAGTGACTCCTGTTGTTGACTTAACAAATTGACACTCTTGTTTATGGCATCAGTAATCACCCTAGGCTCTTGTCATGAGCTGCCAAGGCTATGGAAGCCCCCTGAGTTCACTGACTATGATCATATTTAGACAAGGCCATGATCAAAGTGGAATTTCTCTCCTCCCTTCAGAGAAAGGTACCTCCTTCTTTGATGACCCATTCTTTCCACTGGGATCTCACTCGTGGAGATCTTTCATTTAGGTTTTTTTTTTTTCCCCAGAGTGTCTTGGCTTTCCATGCCTGAAATACTCTCATGGGCATTTCAGCCGGATCCGCATGCCTTACGGGCTGATTCTGAGGCCAGAGTGCTGTTAGGACATTTGCCATTCTATGGGTCTGCTGTGTATCTCACTTCCCATGTTGGATCATTCTGTCCCTTTTTGATTCTATCAGCTAGTATTTGCAATGTTTATATTGCCTTGGCATTCCTTATGAATATCAATTAGCTTTCTCATTCCACAAGTAGGGCTCAGTCACCTTTGTAGAGTTTCCAATTCTCTATCTCCTCCCAGTCACTCAAGGTGATCAATTCAGATGTTTGTCTCATAGGACCTCTCTAGAGGACAGTCTCATATAACCCACTCAGATCCACATCCCACGTGAGCTTCATAGATATGCAGCAGTGGCTACTTCTCAATCACTCCATTTCCAGGGAACACAGGCCTGCTTGCTGTAAACCCACCAAGCAGAAGTTCCAGAGCGAAGCCTGTGTGGGTAACTCCCTGGACACCTGTAAGAACTCTGGTCATGGGTCCTTCTCCGCCGCTCTTGCTCCTCACCTGCTGGCTGTGTGTGTGTCCTTGATATCCTTCATTTCCTGTTGCTTCTGTGAGGTGTGCTGCCTCTTTTCTCTTGGTCTGTTTGGTAAGTAAGTTAACTGCTTCTGTTACTTCATGTAGTTTGTTGCACTGACCAACACACCTGACTGATGCAGCTGAAGCTAACTTATTTTTCATTTAGAGCTTTCCTAAAGAGTGTGTCTTGGTAGAAATGCTCTTAACCCATGTCAGACAAGAGCCACAATAACATCTGCCAACAAAAAATCTCCTGTGAGAACTTTTTTCCTTGTCACGCAGGATAAAGATGTATTCAGGGAAATTTTTTCCTTGTCACCCAGGATAAAGATGTATCCAGGGAAAGACACACTCTAAATATCTACGACTACTGGCATTGGAGCCTTGAAAGGGCAGGGCTATGGTTCCAGCTGCTCTCCTAGGTCTCCTAGGAGAAACATCAAGACAAAATTAGAAAGAATTTGTATTTACAAAACAATGAGATATCCAGAGGGCTGGAGAGAAAATCCTGGGTGGTTCCTGTGATGGCAATATGTGGTGTTCTCTAACCTGCTTTTCATCTACAAGGTCCCACTCCACCAAGACACAATATTGAATCAGGTCTCCCAGTCTCTGTTATGTCACTCTTGGGGTCAAAGGCCTCAAGTTGAAGATTAGACAAACTTGGTATTCAAACCTCTCCTTCCGTCTATTTTTAAACCCTTGGATTGTAAGCTGGGAATAATAATAATGCCTATCTTACATAATTAAAAATCATTATAGCACAGTACTTGCTGGCTTTGGCACAGATTCTTCTGACCCTTAAGAAAAATCTCAGGTCTGTTTTACTAATTGTGTTTTCAAGGCAAGTTTGTTAACTTGTCTTAATGTTTTATTCTTATCTGCAAAACAAGGGTAATTTAAAAGTACCTATATTATGAGTGGTTCTAAAGCTGAAATTAGATAGCACAAATAAATCTGTTAGCAGAGGTCCTGACACATAATTACAGCTCAATAAATGTTGGCAAAATTATTATTATAGTTGTTGAGAAAATTGAAATGATAGCTATTTATGCAAATCACTGAGCTTTATGCCTGCTGCCGAATAGGCACTCAATTAATATTAGCTTCCTTCTTTTCTCAGCAATCAGAAAATGTAGAACAAATTTGCAAGGAACTTGAAAGGGTTTTTCTCAAAAAACAGTCCTGTCTTAGGGAATTATGTAGTCACATTTGTTTGCTTTTCTAGATAGCCCTTTCATCAGAATTTCTAAATCTTCATTGAGAAAGCAGCTAACGTTTCCTGGCAAGAGAGATAGCCCAAATTCGCCAAAGAAGGAAACGATAAAGAATTCTCCTCTGCTTCTCCCACATTCCTTGCAGATACTTTTCAGATGAGTCACACAGGAGAACCGAAAGTTGATATTATGTTTCTTCAGAGAACAGAACTGGTCTAGTTTAACATTAAACATTGAGGAAAGTAAATGGCCTGTCCCAGAGAAAGGAACAATGATGCTGGCCAGCGCTGTCCAGGGGAAAATGAGCAGGGGGAACCCAAGCCAGAGATGGAGAGCAGAGAAGAAAGGGAAATATGAGAGGTAGGTATTGACATCATGCTCTTCTGAGATGTGGGTTAGAGTTTAATTTTACTAAGTCTTTGCACATAAACTACCTCTTCAAGATAAAGGTTCTTATTTAATAAGAAAATCCAGAACTCACAATTCCATCTTCCAAGAGAGCCAAGCAAGGGACCACTCAAGTAGTCTCCTAATGGGACAGCTTCATAGTTCCTGCATTCTGATTATGCTCAGGGAGAAACAGGGGGGATGAGAAGTAGGTGATAGAGAAATATCATATTTGCCAACTGCAGAGCAGAAAAATATTCTGTAGATATTGGAAAGAATATGAAAGAACATAGCATTTGCTCTATTCCAGGATTCCTGCAATCCACTCCAGGCTCTTCCTGCCAACTATAATCATCATATGTGCACCTGTCCTTGCAAGGAGAGTCAGGTCTCTCAAGCAGGCGCTCAATTCTGTGACCATTCAGGAGTCAACTTGACTTTGGACATCTGCTGTTTCATTCATTCAGGTAATAACTATGAAATAGGTTATACATCACACTCTGCATTAAATGGTAAAGCATCTCTGCCCTCGTAGAATAGAAACAGATTTGAAAAGAAAGTCTGACAAGAAACAATAAGGAGGAACTAAAATGGAGACAGGCAGGCTAGTTGCAACACAGAACAGGGAACATGACACAGTCTAGAAAGAAGGGAGAGGAGAGAAAGAAATTTCAGGAAAGGCATCTTGTAACGTGTAATGTTTCAGCAAACTGAAGTCAAGTAAAGTTGCTTAGGGATAATAACATGATGTTTCAGGAGTGAAAGTAATGCCCTCGTGAAAGTCAGGACAAATGTTGCACAAGAAGTGATGGTATGTTACCATGGGGTGAAATGTGAGAGAAGCAGGAGCCAGGGGTGAATCTGGAGAAGGAGGATGAAAAATATGACCGTCATGCAAAACAAGTGAGGAATCATCAAATAATTTTAGCAGAAGTCTGGCATGGTAAGATTTCTGTATCAGGAAGATCTCTCTAGCAACAATGAAGAATATAGATTGGAGCAGGACATGGGGGAAGCAGAGAGATCAAATAGCAGGCTATTACACTAGTTTGTGAGGAAATGATGAGGACCTGAATTAGTTGTATATGAGAAAATTTCAAGTATATGGGTTTAATGAAATTTTAAAAATTTAGCAGGTGGAGTTAAGCAGTGGTTATGATGTGGTTGGGGATGCCTGAACCCCATATTTGAGTTCCAGCTCTGTTTTCCCTTATATCTTCCTGTTAATGTGCAGCCTGGGAGAGAGTAGTGATGGCTCAAGCAGTAGGGTCCCTGCCACCAAGTGTGAGACCTGAACTGAGTTCCCAGATCCCGGGTTTGGCCTGCCCCAGTCCTGGCTGTTTTGGGCAATTGGAGAGTCAATCAACGGATGGACGAGCTGGCTCCCTGTCTCTCTGCCTTTCTAAATAGATGATAGATAGATCGATAGATCGATAGATCGATAGATAGATAGATCAATAGATAGATAGATAGATAAAAGGAAATTTAAGAGGTGAAATCTTTAGATCTTAGGTGGTTAGATGGAATTTGTGATGGTACATTAACCAATTTGATGGAATATTATTTTGTAACAAAAGGAAATGCACCATAAAGCCCTGAAATGACATGGGAAACTTAAGTGAAGTAAAAGGATCTAATCTACAAAGACCGAATATGACCATTTCATTACAAATACATGTGTTCTAAAAGAGGCAACAAATAAGAAGACTGTGAGCATATCAGTGGTTGCTGGGAGTTTGGGTTAGGGATGAGGAAGAAGAGATGGACAAAATAGAGCACAGGGATTTTTAGGATAGTGAAACTATTTTGTATGGTACTGTAGAGATGGATAATGTTACACTTTTCTCAAAATCCACAGATGATATTTGATGGACTTCAGTTAATAATAATATTTCAGTATTGGCTCACCAATTGTAAAAAAATATATCACAGTAACGCAACAAGTTGATAAAATATGAAACTGTGAGGGGTGGGCAGAGTGTGAGGGGATAAATGGGAGCTTTGCACTTCCTTCTAATATATCTGTAAATGTAAAACTGTTATAAAAATAAACCGTATTAATTTAAGTAAATATATTTCCCCTGCATCTGCTTGTAATTTACCAGTATAAATAACAGTGCAGAGTAGCCTGAGCTTAACCCTTACGTGACCTGTTCTTTTAACTCTATCTAGGTATGGACAGATTTGGAATGTGATAACTACAGGTCACCTGAAACTTTGCTTGAGTTCTGGAAATCTTCAAGTATTAGAGTCAGTAAATCCTCCTGGTGATTATTTATTGTTAAGTCAGAAGTTTACTGTATTGTGACAGCTATGTCCATATAACTCTAGAAACCAGTCATTGTTTCTTCCATACACATTTCATGTTTTCTGTTTTGTGCATTAAGATTGCCAAGATGAAAGCAGAGACAATTGATTTAGTGTGGGATTTCTAATTTTTCCCATCACTGGTTTGGCAGTGGGCTCTGAAACAGAGCAACCTCCTAGAATCCGGAAAGGGAAATTAATCTATAAAAATTCAATTAACCTGTACAAAGCTCATTGAGTCCTCATGGAACTTAATCAGAGTTTTCTTAACTTATTAGCTGCTTCACCTATTTTGGATCTTGTAGCCTGTGACGATGGCACTAAACAATCAGAATTATGCTGACAGGCTAAACAAATTAATAGGGTAAATCCAAGAATTGGATCATTCCATCACTTGTTAAAGACATCCGAATAAATCTTACCTGTGAGTTCCAAAGACCAGGTTCCGTGAATTGGTGGACCGTGAGGACAAGTTATGATACCCTGACTGATGCAGGAATCCACAAAATGGGTGGACTGCCTACTTCACTCTCGATTTGCTGTATAAACTTGAGGGGACTCTAGCTTGGGGATCCCTTATATTCAAGCTTATCTCAGATGAAGAATTCTCTGAATTGTTCTAAGCTCCAAACCATGACGTGAATATCAATTGAATTATTCTAAGCTCCAATTGTAACTAAGTTGTCAAATAAGTTTTCTTTTTCAAATGCAGATAATCTCCATTGAGGTACGGGCATTGTGGTGCAGCAGGTTAAGTCACTACATGGGACACCTGCTTCCTCTATCGGAGTGCCTAAGATGGAGTCCCAGCTCTGCTTCTGATGCAGCTTACTGCTAATGTGCCTGGGAAGAAGAAGATAACGTCTTCAGTACTTGTGTTCCTGCAACCCACCTGAGAGTCCCCACTGGAATTTCTGGCTCTTGACTTTGACGTTGCCCAGCCCTAGCTATTGCAGACATTTGGGGAGTGAACCAGCAGAGGGAGGATATTTCTCCTCCTTTCCCTTTCTCCATCTGCTTCTCCTTCTTTGGCTGTAATTCTTTCAGATAATTAAAAATAAATAAATTATCAAATAAATATTTTGCTGTACACTTCACAATATTATGTTTTTTTTTTTTTAATTTTTTAAAAAATTTTAGCTCCAGCTGGCGCCGCGGCTCACTAGGCTAATCCTCTGCCTGCGGCGCTGACACCCTGGGTTCTAGTCCTGGTTGGAGCGCCAGATTCTGTCCCGGTTGTTCCTCTTCCAGTCCAGCTCTCTGCTGTGGCCCGGGAGTGCAGTGGAGGATGGCCCAGGTCCTTGGGCCATGCACCCACATGGAAGACCAGGAGGAAGCACCTGGCTCCTGGCTTCAGATTGGCGCAACACGCTGGCCGCAACGTGCCAGCCATAGCGGCCACTTTGGGGGTGAACCAGTGGAAAAAGGAAGACCTTTCTCTCTGTCTCTCTCACTGTCTAACTCTGCCTGTCAAAAAAAATTTTTTTTTAGCTCCTGCATTTAAGGGAAAACATGTGGTATTTATCTTTCTATGTCCAGTTTATTTCATTCAACATAATGTCCTCCAATTGCAACCACTTTGATGCAGATGAGAGAATTTCACTGTACAGCTGGATAATACTCCATTGTACACATATACCACATTTATTTAGCTGTTTTTTCTTATGATGGACACATTGGTGGATTCCATATTTAGACTGTTATGAACAGTGCTGCTGCAAACATGATGGTGCAGCTATCTCTTTGATATACTGTGTTCAAGTCTTTTGGGTATACACCCAGCAGTGAGACTTCTGGATCATATGCCAAGCTTGTTTCTAGTTTTTTTGGCGTTTTGTTTGTTTTTGCTATTTAATGTTTTTAAATTTTTAATTCATTTTTAACAGATTCATTATAGTTCCTAGATGCAGTTCTAATAATATGGTGATTTTCCCTTGTTCCCTCCCTCTCTTTATTTTTTTTAAGTTTTTGAGATAACATATTTTAAAATTATATTGCAATAAAAGGGTTTAAGGAGATATTCTCCATTGAGAGAGCTGGATAGACCCAGGGACTGTTATTTTAGATAACTTAGTCATGGATTTTACGTTCAGTGTTCTCTCATTCAAAACATGCTTAACCTCAAACTATGCACTAGGTACGGATCTATGGGGAGAATATTTGAGGGAAAAGATCAGTTCAGTTCTGAATGTTTGGGACTTGCAATGACTGTTGGTTATCCAAATGGATATGTCCATCTGGCAGATGGTACTGACGTTCTGGAAAGTTTTGAGTTGAGAATAGATTTTGGGGACATTAGCATCTAAGAGGGAATGGAGAGCAGTGGGCAAAGGAGAGAGCTTGGGGAATGCTGAAGCTGGGAAGGCAATCCAAGGAATAGCAGGAAGAAAACTCGAAGGAAGGCTGAGATGGAACAGTCAGGAGGAAGCGTCCACGAGGGACGTTCAAGAAGCCACATTTTCAGGAACGATACTGAAATGCTGAAGTGACAGTAAGACTGAAAGTGACAGACAGATTTTAGGAGGAATGTCACCATGAGTAACCTTTGGAGAAGCAGTTTCATGAATTTCTTGGAGCTGAAAACATATCACAGAGATTTGGAGACCAAAGAGAGATAAATGAATACTATTTCCAGTTACTTGTTTCCCATCAATGCAGACACTCTGTTTCAGTATTTGACTTTAAGGGGGAAAAAAAAAGGACAAGAAAAAGGAGTGACTGTATATCTGTGAAAAAGGTTCAAGTAGTGAGTAAATAAAAGACAGAAGATAAATAGATGATGAGTGATACATTGGATGGGGGAGAGAGAGAGAGAATGGAGGCTGGGAGATGGGATGCCTTTTTAGTAGACCCAGTCTGCATAGTTGTCTGATTTTCCTCAGTAGTCTCAGGAGAGATGTAGCCAAACTAAATGATTATATTAAACTGAAGCTTACTTGGAGAGTAGGTGACTGAGCTTTGAAGACAAAAGAGAAAGAACAATGACAACAAACCATGAGGTCTGACTGAGGATACGAAAAAGGAAAGCTAAGCAGGGAATCGAGAATTTTTGAGCACGACAGGTCTTGCTATGGTCACAGCATTGGCCTTTTGGGAATTTGCTTCACAATTTTTGATGTTGCCAGAGGTGAGCTACCAAGGAGAAACCAGACTTAAGATTTCAGAATTGAAATATTTCTAAGTGATGACAAGGTCCAGGGTGGACATGGTGGTGGTAGTAGACATGTTTCTGACTTTATCATTCAACTTTCAGATTCATTAAGTTCTATAAGCCCAAGATCTTTGTCTGCTTACTTATAACAGTAACTTCAGGGCTAGCTCAGTGCCTGGAACACTCAGCTGTACATCCAAGGAATAAGTGAATGGACAGATGAGAACTGTATAAAAATGAAAAAGCTGCAATAAGAGAAAAAAGTAGGCATGCTTGATAAGAAAAAGTCACAGCTCATATTCAACTCCACTTTCCCAGCAGAAATGTTCTTTCATGACTTTAAAACTCTTTAATTCTTTCCTGATGCATTATGTATGTGGACAGAAACTCTTTGAAAAGTTTGAAAAGTTGAAAGTGTTATATAAATTAAAGGGGATTAATAGAAAGAGCACTGTGATTCAGGAAGTCAAATAATTCACCGTTTGCCTTTCTATGTCTAGATACAGATGATGATCACTTGTCAGCCACGTGGAGTGCATTTTAAAGTTGGAAATGTTTGTATCTTGAAGCCACTACACAATTTTAAGTAATCTGAGGGTAAGTTTTAGATCAACGTCTTTCCTCTTTACCTAACTACTATTTGGGCAGTCTTCTGGTCAGTGTTTATGACACTCCAACTGCCTACTATTTACAAGCATACTAGAAAACAAGACAGAAAAAAAAAGAATACAAAATTCTTGCCTTTAGAAACTGATAATATTGATGGGGGGAAGATACTGAAACCTGAAAAAGCGTTTGACAAAGAGTGTTATACATGCTTAACTGATCAGCTAGCATCCTAGGAATTTAATGAAAAGGAAATGAGGTCCTTGAGGGAATGTCCTGAAGAACTCATAGAATTTGGAATTGCTGAGAGGTAGGATGGAGGGTAGCTTCCTCTTGATAGTCTCAGTTTACAAAATTTGTAAATTTTGTAAATTTATTCCATTTTCCAGTTATCAAACAACTGCATACATCAGCAGCTGCCAGGAAAAGAGCTTTTTAAGAAGTTGCTTTGTGCAACAAATAGACAGGGATAGCAAAATAGGTATAGCTAGGGAAAAAGGGGTGAATGTGTCTGTGTGTATGTGTGCTTACATGTGTGTAATGTATGGTTTGGAGACCGAGGGTTGAACGAAAAATCAGGAAAACCAGCCAGGTGGAGAAAAGCACGTTTTCACTTGATAAGAGGAAAGAATTGGCACTGTTTTTCTTGTCCATGGCCTTTTACTTCTGGCCTAGAGCTTGCATTTAATTTGAATTTTATTAACACAAGGGATCTTGTGCAGCAACCTGAGTCTCTCAATTCAGGGTGTTTAATTTAAAAAGTTTGCAAGCTGAATATGTGACTTTGCTGAATATGACAGCATTTCTTCTCAGCAAGATAGGTGCCCAGGTTATCTGTAGAAGTCATGGCTGGAAAATCACAGATGTAGGTGATACCTACAGAAGGAAACAATGGTACCAGGTGACAGAACCATGGACTATTAAATAATGTTGGGAAAAAAAGTCAATTAAGAATCATCAAAAAATGAAATACAGTGACTTTTCTGGATCATCTTTAATAATTTGCATCAAACCTGAAGATGAGGTTTTAGATAGACAGGTGGCTAGCTATAGATATATGAGGATGTTCATTATGGCTTTGAATAGAATAGCAAATGAATAGGCAACATATACTTGAAGAGAGAGTAAAACACATTATAGAATGGTCTTAAATAGAATACTATACATGAGCTGAAGTGATCCACTCTTAAATTTAATGAAATGGACAATTTTATCCAAAATATGTTAAAAATACTTGTTAATATATACTAAATTGATCTTCTGTACATAAAGATAACTGAAAATGAATTTTCATGTGAATGGAATGGGAGAGGGAGCAGGAGTTGGGAGGGTTGTGGGTGGGAGGGAAGTTATGAGGGAGGAAAAAGCCATTGTAACTCATAAGCTGTACTTTGGAAATTTATATTTACTAAATAAGAGTTTAAAAAATGTTTCAAAAATTAAATATTAAATTTATGCAAAATTCAAGTATATTTCTGAGTTCAACTCTTCTGATAATTGATAATCTATACATACATATCAGCTATTTATTCCTAAATCTTATTTGATATCCTATTTTGGCTTTAGCATCATGCAGAAAAGGATTATTATAGGGGATTGATGGCTTGGGATAAGATAGAACTAATTTTGGATACTTGCTATCTTTCTGAAGCTGTGTTAATCCTTGCTGGGTGTTGAATTGTTTTCCTCCCCAAATTAATTATACTTAATACCTAATTCCCATTGTGACTGTGTTTGGAGAGAGGTTGCATGAGGAGATAATTAAGTATAACTGAGTCAGGAGAGGGAGGACCCGACATGAAAAGATTAGTGTGTTTCTAGGAAGAGACATTAGAACACCAGAAAGCATAGAGAACATTCTCCCCTACTCCTTATTTTCAGTCATGTGAGGCCACAGAGAAAGTGGTCATCTACAGGCCAGAAAATGAGCCAGCCACTTGATTTTGCATTTCTTAGTCTCTGGAAGTATGAAAATAATTTTCTGGTGTTTAAGTTACCCAGTCTATTGTGTATTGTTCTGGCACATCAAGTGGACCAAGCCAGTTATTTTCATACATTTCATTCAGTTCTACAAACAATTGAAAAGACTACACTATTCTCATCATTTCATTGATGAGGCCATTTTGCTATTTCAAAGATAGTGATTTATAGATCTATCCAAAGTCATGTGATAAAATTGAAAGAGAGCTTGAACCCAAACTTATTAGTTCCTTAGACCAACCTGTTTCCAAGAAGACCCACAGCAATAGTTAGGGATTCCCAGAGAAGCTCTTTCTTTAAGGTCTAACGGTCTGTAGTAAATTCGCACAGTGGTTACTGTGTTAGTTC